GAATCTAGGCTTAAATAAGTTTGCTTATATTTCTATAGGAAATTAAAATATGCCTGCATTCCATACACAAGGCTGGACAAAAGTAGGTTTACAGTTGTTCATATGGAAAATAATATAATAATTAATAAATAATAATATAAGAATAAGCTCTGTGTTTTGCATACTCACAACTATAAACTTTTTTCCCCACCCTGTATGTGTTGTTGTCATTCTCTGTCAGTCTATCATATATGCAGTTTGAAAGAAAGAAAGTGCTCTTAACTCTTATTCAACCCTTACTAGTCTTGTAATAACAGTGATCATAAAATGTATTCTTTAAACTGAAATAATGTGAAGTGGGAAAAGCGGCACTAAAATAATTTAAATTACACAATTATTAAAATTGATATTTAGTTCAATTTTATTAGGTAGACCTACCAATATTTCTACTCAAATGTTATTTCTAAAACTAGATTACATATACATACATATATACACATATATATATTTAGAAAGAGAGAGATTATATACATATATATCTGGGTACACAAAGTCAAAACTTTTTAAATCTTTCATTGAATAAAAATATAACCACATGGACATCAATATCATGGCAGAATGAGAGGACCCTTTTTTACAACAAGTTGGACAACTATAATTAAACAAAGGATCCTCTATTCAACATGGAGGCATCTGAGAGATCCACACATTAGTCCATCTGAAAGTAGGCACATTGGAAAAAGTAAGGGAGGTGAATTGGGGAACTGACATCCCTGCCTGAAAAGCCATTGTGGTGAAACCTGGTGGCAGTAGTGGAGATGCAGAGGACTTATGGTGGTTATTGCTGACAAAGAGTCAAAGCTGTGGTCTTGTGGTGGCCATTACTGACCTAGAGGCAAAACCTCAATCCAACATACCTGCCTCCTCTTGCCCACCTATTGCAGCAGAACCCAGTAGAGGTGGGACCTAGTTGAAAAAGCAGAGATGCACACTGGTAACAAGGAAGCAGTGCTAGGAGCTCCCAGGCTAGAGCCCCACTACCCTCCACATCCCACCATGAGGATGGTGCCCCAAGATAGCTGCAACCCAGACACAGAGTAGACACCCAAAACCTTGGGAAATATAGGGTATTTTCCATAACTGAGGTCACACCATGCCACCAAGATTCCAAATGTGACAGCAGTATTGTTAAGAGAAAACAAAAACTTGTACTATAGTGTCATCTACTGAGAAACAAATGAAGGATCGATCTCTGTTCAGAAGCTGCTGAATGGGTAAAAGCAAAGAGTAACTAAAAAAGAACAGAGAACCAGAAATTCTGGAGCTAAAGAACTCAATAAATGAGACGAATAATTTGATAATTAGAAATAGAGTAGACCAGATGAAAGAGAGAATTTGTGCTCTTGATTACTGAAACTTAGAAATGTCTCAGGGGGAAGAAGAGAGAGAACAAAAAGAAAACAAAACAAGAGGTCTACAACTATCTGACTCCATTAGAAGCAACAACATAAGGATAATGGGTATAGCAGGAGAAGAAGAGAGAGAGAAGGGAACAGAGAACAAAGTATTAAAAGAAATAATTGATAAGAATTTCCCAAATGTATAGAAAGTGCTGGGCATTTGAATACAAAAGCTATCAGAACACCTAATTATTTCAATGCAAAAAGATCTTCTCCAAGATACATTACACTAAAACTGGCAAAATTTAATGACAAAGAAAGAATTCTTATGGCATCCAGGGTGTAAAAGACTGAAACCTACAAAGCTGTGGTCTTGTGGTGGCCATTAGGCTATCATTAGATTCTTTTAGTAGAAACCTTACAAGTCAGGAGAGAGTGGACAAAAATATTCAAAATACTGAAAGAGAGAAATAACCAGCCAAAAATAATATATCCAGCAAAGTCATTCTTTAGATGTGAAGGAGAAATAAATGCTTTCCCAGACAATCAAAAATTGAGAGAATTCACCACCAAAAGTCTTGCATTACAAGAAATGTTGAAGGAAGTTCTTCTATCAGAATCATAAAGAAAAAGGGTATACACAACTTGCAGTAAATGACAGACAGAAACTTGCAACTCTACTTCAGGAAAGAGTATTAAACACTTAATTATAACATAAAAGTTAAAGGGGAAAAAAGCATTAAAAGTAACCTACTTCAACATAAAAAGGGATAATTCTGGGGGAATCATAAAATGGGAGAAGCAGAGGACAAGGGTACAGGTGAATGGATATGAGAGGCAATCAGAAGAAAAGGGATTATTGTATGTAAGAGACATTTTACAAAAACTTAATAGTAACCACAAAACAAAAATCCAGAGTTAAGACATGAAACATAAAAAAAAAAAAAAAAAAAGANAAAAAAAAAAAAAAAAAAAAAAAAAAAAAACAAAATTAAAAAAAAAAAAAAAAAAAAAAAAAAAAAAAAAAGAGGAAACAGAGAAAAAGATAATAGAAAACCACCCAACTAAAGTAACAGACAGAAACACAAGGGGGAAAAAAAAATGGACATACAGAGCAACTAGAAAATAAAAGATAAAATGGCTGCAGTAAGTCTTCATATATCAACAATCATGTTAAATATAAAAGGATTGAACTCATAAATCAAAAGGCACAGACTAGTGGAATGGATTTTAAAACAAGACCCAGCTATATGTTGTCTTCAAGACTCATCTCAGCTCCAAAAACAAATAGGCTCAAAGTGAAGAGGTGGAAGATGATACCCTAAGAAAACAGCATCCAGGGAAAAGCAGATATGACAGTACTTATATCAGACAAAAGAGATTTCAAAACAAAAAAGTTACCATGATACAAAGATGGACATTTTATAATGACAAAAGGGACAATTCTTCAAGAAGACATACACTTATCAGTATATATGCACCCAACCTGGCTTTGACAAACTATACAAAGCAATTATTAACAGACCGAAAAAAAAAACACCCTGACACAAAGACAATTATAATAGGAAACGTACATACCCCACTTAAATCAATGAATAGCTATTCCAAACAGAAATTCAGTATTTTGTAACTCATTTTATGAGTCCAACATTACCCTGACACCAAAACCAGGCAAGGACAACACACACAAACAAAAATACAGATCAATATCTCTGATGAGCATAGATGCAAAAATTCTAACCCAAACACAAGCAAATGTAATACAGTAAGACATTAAAAAGATAATATATCACAATCAAGAGAGGCTCATTCCAGGAGCACATGGATGGTTCAACTTATGCAAATTGATCAATGTGATATACCACATTAACAAAATAAAAGATAAAAATCACATGATCATCTCAATAGAGGCAGAAAAAAGCATGTGACAAGATACAACATCCATTTATAATAAAATAAAAAAAATTCAATAAAATAAGTATAGAAGGAAATTATATCAACATAATAAAGGCCAATATGACAAACCCTCAGCTAACACCATACCCAATGGTGCAAAATGGAAACCTTTCCCTCTAAGAATGAACATGTACGAAAGGATGCTGACACTTGTCACTGTCATTTGACATAATATTGAAAGTTTTAGCCAAGGCAGTTAGGGAGGAAAGAGAAATAAAAGGCATCTAAATTGGGAAGGAGTGAGTAAAACTGTCACTCTTTACAGATGACATGATTCTATATATAGGGTGTCCCCAAAAAATGTATACACATTTTAACACCTGATAGCTGTTAAAGGAAAGTGAAATGTATTTTAATAAACATTGCCTTTATAATTATTCAAAGTGTGTGTATATATTTTTAGGACACCCTGTATATATATAGAAAAACCTATAGACTCCGTATTAGAAACAATAAATAAGTACAGTATAATTACAGAATACAAAATCAATTTGCAAAAATCTGTGCTTCTAGGTACTAAAACAAATATCAGAGAGAGAACTAAAAAAAATCCCATTTGCAATTGCATCAAAAAGAATAAAATAAAAACAAATTAAGGGAGAACGTGTACATTGAAATCTACAGAAAGTTGTTGAAAAAAAATTAAGACATAAAGACATAGAAAGATACTCTGTGTTCATGGATTGGAGGAATTAACATTGTTAAAATATCCATATTGACTAAAGCAATCTACAGATTTAATGAAATCCCCATCAAAATTTGCACAGAGGTAGAACAAAAATCCTCAATTTTGAGCACAGAGAAGATAGATCAATTGAGATTATATATTCTAGGGGGGAGAAAGAAAAAGAATGGAGAGAAGTGAACAGAAACTAACAGGCCTGGAGGCACTATCAAATATAGCAACAGAAAGTTGGAGTACCAGGAAGTGAGGAAATAGATAAAAGGGCAGAAAGAATTCATGGCCAAAAATTTCTCACATTTGATGAAAAACATTTAAACATCCGGGAAGCTCTATGAATTCCATCTAGGATCAATTCAAAGAGAACCACTCAAAGACACATTATAAGAAAAGTGTTATAAGGCAAAGAAATATAGTCTTAAAAAAGAAGCAACAGAGAAGGGACTCATCATTTACAAGGAATCCTTAGTAAGTTTAATAATAACTGATTTTTCATCAGAGACCTTGGAGTCCATAAGATAGTAAGTTAAAATATTCAAAGTGGTGAAAGAAAAATGCCTGTCAACCAAAAGTTCTATATCCAGCTTATAGGTAAATAAAGAGAGTGTAATATAGACAAATACCTATTTTATAATTATATGTTTTAGTAGTATTTAAAGTTATGTAACAAAACATTAAAAGTATTTTTACCAGTATAACAATGGTAGCTGTTAGCTATAATTAACAGTGACTCTATTCTTCCTGTATTCCTAAATTTTATTTAATAATATGCATTTTAATTTAAATAAAAGAATAAGAAATGTTACATAATATATCATAAAACAATAACCTTGTTGTATAATCTTTCATATATTTTAGGTAGAATATGGATGTTTTATTTAAGCACATAGAAAAAAGATACCAGATTTAATATTCCTACTCAACTGTTAAGCAGTTCCTTTTCACAATTAGAAAAAATTCTACAGAAGTAATTTCATGGTATGTCATAGCATCAGAATTATTGCAGTTACCTGTGAACTTGAATAACCTTTATAGGTCTGATCTTTCTGCCAAATATTGCTGTAATTTTCTGCTAACACTGATATATCTGTATTGTCATTTTTTACTTGATAAATTATGTGCTTAAATCTTGCTGATGATTCCAATGGTTCAATTCCATAGCTGATATTTTCAAACTGAAGGAATCCCCTGAATATTTAAAAAGCAATGACATCAAAATCTTACAAATGATCCCATCCAAAGCTATAATCTAAAATATTATAAGAAATGATGAACCCTAGTAAGGAACATGTTTTAAACACATTTTTCCCCTATTTTTTTGTCTTCCATTAATAACTGTTACCACATCTGCCTTAGTTTTCCTTCACATATTCAGTAACTAAATAAATTGTAAAGTATTTTGTATTTTCTGAACAGTAATCACATTCATTCAAAATGTATAACTTAAGGCCAAGTATTAGCTGAGAAACAAGATATTTGTTGAAATTTTCAAGAATAAAATTCCTGTTCTTGCAGAGGTTAGGATAAGAGAAAGCAGGAATATAGAGTGGATATCTAAAGAGACTGATATAAATGAAAACCACGTTCAGAGAATGCCAATTTTCTGAGTTGAGTAAATTTTTAAATCAGGCAAGCAAAAACCAAACGTTAGAGAGTGTCTTATCTGCTCTGAACTCATCTTCCTCTGATAAACTTACCACCTTCCTCTTGTCATCATTAACGATGAAAATCACTTTTCTCTGCCCTTTACCTGAGGGAATTTTTTTCACCTATACCCCTATCTCTCCTTCCTTTGGCAACTATCAGCTTGTTCTCTATATCTATGGGTTTGTTTGTTTTGCTTTGTGTAGTCATTTGCTTTGGGTTTTTTTAGATTCCAAATTTAAATGAAGTCATGTGGTATTTGTGTTTCTCTGTCTGACTTATTCACTTAGCATAATACCCTCTAGGTCCACCCATGTTATCACAAATGGAAAGATTTCATTCTTTTTTATTGATGAGTAGTATTCCATTGTATATGTATCACATCTTCTTTATCCATTCACCTATTGATGGACACTTAGGGTGCTTGCATATTTTGGCTATTGTAATTAATGAAGTCAACATAGGGGGGCATGCGTCTTTTCAAGTTGGTGTTTTTGTTTCCTATGGATAAATATCCATAAGTGAAATTTCTGGGTTATATGGTAGCTCTATGTTTAATTTTTCAAATTAAATTTATTGTGGTGACATTGGTTGATAAGATTATATAGGATTCAAGTGTACAGTTTTCTGATACATGATCTGTATTTCATTGTGTACCCACCACCCAAAGTCAAATCTTGTTCTGTCACCATATATTTGACCACCTTTACCCTTTACTACCTGACACTTCCTTATTGTAACCAACATAGTATTATCTCTATGAGTTATTGTTTATTTTCTTGTTTATTTGTTGCTTTCAGTTTTATGTCCCACATGTGAGCAAAATCATATGGTTCTTGACTTTTTCTGTCTATTTCACTTAGAATGATATTCTCATGTTGTTCATGATATCCATTCTCATGATATCCATGTTGTCACAAGTGGCAGTATTTCATCTTTTCTTATGGCTGAGTAGTATTCCATTGTATATATGTACCACAACTTTATCCAATCACCTATCAAAGGCCACTTCCGTTGTTTCCATGTCTTGGCCACCTTGAATAATGCTGCAATGAACATATGGGTGCATATATTTTTGAGAATAAATGTTTAATTTTTTGAGGTATGTCCATATTGTTTCCCATAGTGGATGCACCAATTTACAATCCCACCAACAGTGTGCAAGGGTTCCCTTTTCTCAACATCTTCACCAGTACTTGATATTTGTCGATTTTTTGATGACAGCCATTCTGACAGTTGTGAAGTGATATCTCATTATGATTTTGATTTGCATTTCCCTGATGATTAGCAATGTTGAGCACCTTCCCATATGCCTGTTGGCTATCTGTATATCCCCTTTGGAGAAATGTCTATCAAGTCCTATGAAGTACCTTTTTAATTAGTTGTTTTATGTCTGATGTTGAGTATACCTTAAGTGTGAGCATACAATATGTGCCTGTTTGAATAACGAATTAATGTCATTTTCCATAACTCTTTAAGGTAACTGACAGATAACTCAGCTATAATGTTTAGGGAAATGTTCTAAACTTTCCTTTACTGACACTATCCTTTTATGCACAGTACCTTGAAAATACCCACAGTCAGGTTTCCCTAGAGTGATTTCATTTGAATAAGCACTAAGGTTCAGCTACTAATACTAACATAAAAAACATTAAGGTCATCATAAAGAAAACTTTCAGATTTGGATTCCCCTTAAACCTTCCCAGAATTGTGTGTGCTAGCCACTAAGTGTCATTTTGAAGTATATCCTAAGTTTTCCATGTGTAAATATTCTCTAAGATGTTATTACCTGAGACCAGAACATATGCTGAGTGTTGCAACTGAATTTGGAAAATCTGCAACATAACCTTGGTAATGGCAATGCATCTGAAAAACAGTATAGAAAGGCAAATAAATAAATTCTTTATGAATAAAATATGTATTGTCAAATATTATAGATGCTTCAAAATGTTAAAATAGTTTAAAATAAGATTGTGTCTTATACAGATTAATTAATACATATTTTCAAGGGAAAAAAGTTTTTGACAGCTCTCCTTTGAACCACCTAAGTGCCCATGAATATTACCTCAGCATTTCATCTTATTTCTATGTACAACAATCAACCACATAACATGTCATAATTATACAGAATAAAATATATTAAACTGCAAACATAGAATAAATATATCTCAATGGTAATGATATGCCTATTTTAATAAAGAAACATATAATAATAAATGTCTAAGACATCTGAGTCTTACCTTAAAATATGAAGAATCAGTATGCAAAGATCCAGTTTCATTAAATGTATAAACCAAAAAATTCCGGGATAAGAATGAGCTAAGAAACAATATCAACAACAACAACAAATGGTTGAGTAATGAATTTAATATGAATATAAACATTACACTAAAAAAAAAATGTGAAATTTATTAAAATCATATAATAAAATGCAGCAGTTAGAATAATTTTAGTGTGGAATAACAGTTTAAATTTATAGAACTGGTGTATCAGGCTTTCTTAACACTGAAATAAACTCTGTGTGAATCATCTGTACCAGATATCTGTGTGTGTGCTTGTGTACATCTTCATTCAAGAGTATTTACTGAGTGCCTACTGTCTGACAAATCCTCTTTTAGGCACTGGGATATAGCAATAAACAAAAGACAAAACCACTGATCTTCATAATAGTGAGGGACACATACTTCCAGCATATTAGATGATGATAAATAAAGCCTGGATGAGGGAATTTTGTTGCAAAATGTAGATAGGATGGCATGGGAGGCTCACAGATATAATGATGCATTAGATGATTAAAAACTTGAAAAACAAGCCCATGGATTTTACAGAAATGTTATTCTAGACAGAGTTAAGAGAAAACACAAAGACCCCGAGGCATAAATATATTTTGTGTATACAAGGAACAGCTAAAGGGCAATATGCCTAGAGTGAAATGTGGAAGAAAGACAAGAGATAGTCATAGATATGGTGTCAATGTGATGAGAAGCCACTGGAAGATTTTGAGCAGTAAATGAAAGATCAGACCAACATTTTAATAGAATCAGACTGAATGCTGTGTTGAGAATCATTTGCAGAAAGAGAGAAACCAGTTAGGCTGTTATAGTCATCCAGGCAAGATGTGTTGGTGGCTTGAAACAAGATAGTAGCAGTGGTGTAGGTCCAATTCTGAATATATTTTGAAGGTAGAACACATGGGATTTAATAATCCATTGAATATAGGGGTGGGGGAGACGTCAAGGGTTACTCTAAGGTTTTTGTCCTGAGAAACTGGAAGAATAGAGTTGTCATTTACTGAGATGATTGTGGAAAGGAGATATTTTGGGTGGATCAGAAGTACAGTTTAAATATGTTAAGCATGAAAATTCTATTAAACACTTGGGCCTGGCCGGGTGTGGCTCAGCAGTTAAGAGTCAACCTAGGATCCAGGCGATCGAGGTTGGATTCCCGGTCAGGGCACATGCCCGGGTTTTGGGCTTGATCCCGTCGGGGGATGTGCAGGAGGCAGCTGATCAATGACTCTCTCAACACTGATGTTTCTCTCTCTCTCTCTCCCTCTCCTTTCCTCTCTCTGAAATCAATAAAGATATATTAATACACACACACACACACACACACACACACACACAGCACTCGGTTATCAAGTAAGTAGTCAGATAATTGAATAGGTATTCACTGGAAAGGAATAAAGTATAGATATAAGTTTGGAAATAATCAATACATAAATTGTATTTGAAGTCCTAGGGTTGGATGAAATGGCCAGGTGATTGAATATAGCTAGGAAGAAAACGAGCCTCAATAATAGCACCACGGAGTTCTCTGAGATTGGAGACATAAAAAATAATCTGAAAAACAGACAAATAGTTACTGTGAAAGTGTAAGCACAATGGTGTAAGAGTTAAACAAGAAGTCTGTGGTATTCTGGAAGTCAAATGAAGAAATTATTTTGTGGAGGAAACACTAATCAGTTATACAATATGTTGCCAATTGATCAAGGAAAATGAAGACTAAAAATTAACTGGCATTCAGAAACATGAAGATCATTGATTGTCTTATCAACAGACAATTTCAATGGCGTTGTAAAGACATTAAAGACTAACCTGAGTTTAATGGTCCTAAATTAGATGAAAAGAGTCATGAATTAAATAAAGATACGTTTCTCCAGACTTATTCAACTATAAAGATGCAGGTGGACAAAATGCAGTTGTTATAAATATATATTTTCAGAGAGGCAGGTAGAGAGGAGGCTGTTTGAGTCCATTTATATGAAATGCTGAGAAAATACACTTACAAAAAGTACATGAATTGTTACTTGGAGTGGTGGTAGGGAACTAGGATTAAACGTGAAATGGCATGAGAGACCTTACGTGGGGAATGAAATGTTCTAAAAATGATTTATGGTTGATGGTTGCAATACTACATAAAATTATTAAAATTATTTATTTATACACTTGACCAAGTTTTATGATATATAAAGTATGCCTTATAAAGTTCAAAATAAATACACACATAATACATTCATAAGATGTATGCCACTAGTTGAATTTCCTACCAATAACCACTCAATGTGTTAACTATGTTTGAGCTCCCATCAGACATACTTATTATTTGTAACAATTCTTGGGTTCAGTGGCTTTATATTCAATTAAAGACTTAAAAATATATAGCTTATTTCTAAATTTGAAAATAAAAAGCTGAATAATTTAATGCAACAATCTCATACATCTAAGATTCAAGACCTAATAAATCCTACATTAAATGTCAGAGGGATGGAGGGGGGTGGGGGGATGGAGGGGGAGAGAGTAACCAAAGAATTTATATGCATATATGCACAACCCAAGGATACAGACAATGGTGGGGAGAGTGACTGGGGAGGGGGAAGGAACGGGGGGGAATGGGTCATTGGGGAGAAAAAGGGACATCTGTAATACTTTAAAAAAATAAAATAAAATAAAATAAAATAAAATAAAATAAAATAAAATAAAATAAAATAAAATAAAATAAAATAAAAATGGATTGATTAAACAGCCTGCATTTTTCTTCATTATTATATTTAAATAGTAACAAAAACTTTTTAAAAGTAAAATCTAAGCTTTAAGAAAAAAATCTTCTTACCGTTCTGTGAGATGCAGAGTGTAGGGTTTATTATCAATTGTAATGATATAAATCACCTAAAATAAAGCAAATCAATAAAAATGATTTAGTAAATAAAAAATATACAAAGTAAAACTTTTTCACTCCTGTCAAAAAAAGACTCAATTCATTTTAAAAATTAACATATTCTGCAGAATTTATTATTCTAAATAGAAGGAATTTATTATAATAATAAATTCACGACTAGGGTAATGAATTTAATCTGTAGGGATGGCTTTTTGAAAGGAAAAAACTGAAGGTCACATTTTGAAAATATATAATTTTAGCATTATTAATACTATAGATTAATCGTTTCTCTCTGAAAAATATACATTTTTCTGGTGAAGATGAATGAGACAAGGCTGCAGGCTAACATTCTGTGCTAAATCCAATGAAACAAAGACAAATTTATAAATACATATATACATACATGCCATTGATACCATTGCAGTTAACCTAATTATTAATAACAAGAAAGGAGCAAAGGGACAGCTAAATATTATAGGTATGTCATTTTTGCAGCTTTGCCAGGAAGCTGCAGTTGAACACTCCTCGGAGTGCCACCAATCTATTCCCCACAGGTCACTGGGGGAAGGGACTGGACAAGGAGAGAATACACTCATGACCAGTAAAGCCTGGGTGACATAGGGAAGGTACTTGCCTATCAGTCACACCTGGGAACAGGTCATTGACCAGAGTAGGCGTGGCCACTGCAAGCTCAGGAAGATTTGAGATATTAAATCTCCTGAACAAAGAGTTTCACTCTCTTGGCTCCTGGCTCTCTTGATTTGTGCCCTTGGTCACTCTTGGTTCTCTTGCATTCGCCCACATGGCCCATAGCCATGTAGACCCCATACAATAGACTGATGGGCGGCAACTAGCCTAATGCTAAACTGGACCCAGCTCCAACATAGAATGGAAACTCTGGCTTTGCTGCTAGCTCTATGAATCCCCAGCTGCACTTCTTCCAGGACTGGATTAAGGGAAATGGGACTTTGGAACCCCTGAGATGTAATTCCACCCAAATAAAAATCATTCATCCTCCCATGTGAGGATGAAAATTCTTTTTCTCAAGATATAAGGACACCATCCTCAGCATTCAGTGCGGAAAGGGATACCCCACTTCTACTGATAACACTACCAATACACCTGGAGCCACTTCGTAATCCTCTCCATATATAAACTGTGAGGGAAAAAGGACCTGAGAAATGGATACTAGTGAGAAATGCTGCAGTTCCAGGAATAAGAGCTTTAATACAGCACAGATTGAGTTATAACAGTTCTCATCCTAATGTGGTGACATCCAGGAATAGGAGTGACTCTGAGGATGTTTACAGAGTGAGTCAGTGGACTGTCTCCACAAAGGCAGACAGACCTCTCTGCTAACAAATCCACAATTTCTTTTCAAGAAGAAACAATTTTAAGAAAGATATCTGATTTTAAGGGAAGGGAGCCTGTGAGCCTGTGAGAGGGTAGTGCTGCTTATGCCTAGAAACACCCAGGAAGTACAAGAAGCCCACAGACTCAGAGACCAGATGCCTAATAACCCAGAACTAAAAGTGTAATACTGGGCATGAGGCAGGATAGCAAGAAGCTAGGAAAATCCCTTGACAAGTAGAATGGGGAAACTGAGACAGGTAGCTAAACAAACTGGCCAAGCAATTTACAGCCAGATACAGAACATCACCTTCCCAGAGATAATATCTAGGCCTCAGTTGTATTTCAGCCTCAGGCTTAGAAAAGTAGCAAAACCAGGTGGGTGACTTCAGGACCAGCTGCAATAACAAATGATCCCTTGCCCTGGCACTGACCAATCACTAGAGACCAAGACCTTGAAAAAACACACCTGGAAAACTGATGAATATTGTGCTGAAACCCTCCCCTGAGACCTCTAAGATTCCCACCTGCAAGGGAGAGGAAAAATTCTCAAGACAAAGGACCCTGCCTGTGCTCTCTCTCTGGGGAGCACACCAACGCCTTTCCCTTTCCCTTCTTCTTCCCCCCACAGACCTGCATCTCCTAAACAATAAGGGCCCCCAGGAGACTTGCAACTAGGGAAGCAATGGGAAGCAGCAGCTTGTCCTGGACTAACCTCCTGAACCTGTCTCCAAGGTCCTCTTTTTTCTGACTCCCCAGTGAGCTAAAACAGCCCTGCCTCTGCTCATTTCTTCCTCTAACATTTTTATAGGACCAAAGCAGTCCAGCCTACACTCTCCTGTTGCTTCTTCTATGCTAAGCCCCTTGCTTCATTGTCTCGAGCTTTAATAAGCATACCCTCAATGTCACCCGGACTCATGTTGTGAACTCTTTTCTGCACAAAGTCAAGAACCCACACACCCTACTGTCTGGCCCTAGGCAGACTCAGGGCCAAGTCCTTTGTCCAGTAACAGGCCTATCAAGTATTCCTTACTCTCCCTTTCTACCTCTTCTCTTTCCCAGTTTAGTGGGTTTCACCAGTGCCCTCAGGCCACAAACCTCTTTACCCTTTTGCCAAGAGACTAAAGATTTTACATCATAAAGGCGGTAGAAGAGATGAGTTTAGATAGAGTTTCTGAAAGGGCAGATGTTTCTCCAGATCCTGAGAGAAATCTGTTATTGTAATTTTCTTACAAACTCCTAGACAAAATCAATGAGTGTCTGAAAGTAAATAACAAAGGTTTACCAAACTTATCCTGTATTACTTTAATATAATAATAATGACATATCTCTTAAAAAAATGCAGAACCAATCTCAGAATGTGCCCCTCAGGAGGATGCTCTAACAACAGACAGAAACTACAAAATCCCTACAAGAAAAAAAGGTGTGGAAAACAGGAGTTTTGAATATAAACAAATTATCCTAATGGACATCTATAGTACATGACACAAAACAACTGCATAATATATACAGAAACACACACTGGAGTCAAATGCATTATCTGAACATGGTGAAATTCAATTAAAAATCAGTACCAAGAGGATATCTAAGAAAAGCCCAAATATACACACTTCAAAATTTCCCATAGGTCAATGGAGAAACAACAAGGGAAATTAAAAACCATGTTATATTAAAATATTATAAATGCATGTTACATAAAATTTATGTAGTGAAGTGACATCAGTGTAAATCAGAGTAACAACCACCCAAAATTCTTTTCTACGTAAACCCAACATGAGAACTGAAAAAACTGGTAGAATCAACCTCTTCAGATATCTAGAAATTAATTAAAGGCTTACAATATTCTGGAGAGTGTTTAATCAAGAAAAATAGCTGATCTTAGTAAAAATATTAATATTTGGGAGATTTGAATTTGCCCTAGTCTGTTCTTTCATTAATTGAAAACTAATAGAAAGCATTTGCAGTGAATACCAGCAGACTAGAAACCTCTGACAAAATCAGAACGTGGCTGGAGCATTTTCAAAATCTCATTTCCAGAGAAGTGTCAAGATTTCACCTTTGTGGTTCTTAGAAGACCCACTCCAAGCTTGCCTGTATTTGACATAAATTAAATTGCACCTAATGTCAAAATCTTTTTCCCAAAGGCATTTGCTGAAAACAACTACAGAACTTTTTTTTTTAAACTTTCACAGTTGCCTGATGCAGTGAATAACGGTAGGGCAAACAATAGACCAACCAAAAAACTTAAAAGGACCATATAATTTCACTTATATGTAGAATCTAATGAACAAAATAAACTAACAAACAAAATAGAAACAGGCTCACAGATATAGCAAACAAACTGACAGCTGTTAGAGGGGAAGGCAGTTGGGGAGCTGGGTGAAAAGGTGAAGGGATTAAGCAATGGGGGAAAAAACAACTCATAGACACAGATAACAGTATGGTGATTAGCAGAGGGAAGGGGGGTTTGGTTGGGGGGGATGAAGAGGGTAAAAGGGGATTAAATGTTGATGGAAGGAGACTTGACTTGGGGTGGTGAACACACAAAACAATACACAGATGATGCATTATGAATTGCACACCTGAAACCTAGATAATTTTATTGACCAATGTCACCCCAATAAATTCAATAAAAATTTTTAAAAAGGAAAAGCTGTATAATGAAAAGTTCACATGAAGCTTTGGGAAATTATGACAAGTTCCTGGGTATCTAAAAGGCCTCACACACTATGCGCATGCCCAAGGGTGTACACATGCATAGGACAGACCTGAAAAGACCCTAAACTCTCAACTCTTGAGGCTCTGTGCAAACAGGAATTGAAATGATAAGCATAGTTGTTAAATTCCTGGCTGAATGACAAAATGTAAACAGAGAGCCTCAGCAAAGACTGAGAGACTTACTGGCCAAGCATTTCAAGAATTCTCTACCTGATCATTAACCCTCCAATAAGATAATAGAATAAAGACATCAGTGGCTACACACAATAAAGGATACAGATTTTAGAGAACCAGTGAAAAAACTCACAAACTAAATAACTAAAACAAATAGCAATAATATTTGGAGGGGAAGAAGTATCTGATTTCCAGAGTTTACCACAATATATTATTTGGAATGACCAGTCTCAGTTGTAAACAAATTACGAGACGTGAAAAAGACTAAGAGAGTATGGTCCAGGAAAAAGGCCATCAGTGAATACTGTTTTGGGGGAAGATTAGATGTTGAATTTACTAAAAAATTGCTTTAAATTAGGTATTTTAAATAATTTCAAAGAGCTAAAGAAACAGTGTATAAACAACTAAAGGAAAGTATAATGATTTCTCATTAACTACAGAATATCTATAAAGACATAGAAATTATGAAATAGGAATAAATAGAATTTCTGATATTAAAACAATACCTAAACAACAAATTAAAACAACTATGAGATAGCATCATAAAAAAGACAAGAGGTAACAAATGCTCATGTGATGTTGAAAAACGGGTACACTTGTGCACCATTGGTGGAAATGAAATTGGTACATTTATTCTGATTCTCAAAAAATTAAAAAATTAACTAGTATATAATCTGGCAATCATATTTCTTGTAATATATCCAAAGGAAGCAACATTATCTCAAGTGGTATCTCTACTTCTATATTCACTGCATTATTCACAACAGTCAAGACATGGAAAAAACCTGTTTGTCAACAGAGAATAAAGAAAAGTGGCATATGCATACAATTGAATATTGTTCAGCATTAAAAAAGAAAGGAATGTTGCCATTTGCAACAATATGGATGCGCCTAAAGGGCCTTATGCTAGGTGGGAATGGACAGATACTGCATGGTACCACCAATATGTGATACCATACATCGGCTTGCCATGTAGGATATATATACACAGGCTACACATACACTTTTACAAATTAAATCAATACACAGAATCAAGTTGAAATAAAAAATAATAAAAATCATTCAAGCAGTCAGAAAAAAAATGCATAAGTATTTTCAGAGTAGTAAGGATGTCCTGAGACTTCTCACCAGAAACTATGCAGGAACAAGATAAATCGTCTGAATCTTTAAAGCGAGAGAGAGAAAGAAAAAAAAGAAAATCAAATGCTGAGAGTTTTCATCAAACAACAAATCTAAAGAAAAATTTAAAAGATGCGCTGCAGGAAGAAGAAAATACAATATCACATAAAGTGTGATCACACAAAGTAATGAAAATTACCAGGAGTATTGAATACATGGATAACTCATAATTTTATTCATTTTAAATCTAAACACAATTTACAATTTAAAAGAAATATATTAACAAGTATTCTTGAGTTTATAACATGGGGAGACTATACCTATGATAACAGCACAAAGAATAGAAAAATACAAAAATTACATTATTTTAAAATTTTACATATATGACACTGTACAATGTTATTTGAAGGTAATCCTTGATAAGCTAAAGATCCACATGGTGAAATGATTATAGGTTGATAAAAAAATAGAAAAAGAAAATTGAATGTAAAGAGGAATATCAATAAGTGTTCAATAATTCAGAAGAAGTAAGGAAAGAAGGTCTTGACTCCAGCTGACACACTCTCAAGTTTCTGAGCTGAATGGTGCCGCTGGCTTTACTCTGTGAATGATCAGTTCTGCCTGTTAGACTTTCTTCTGAAGAGTTGCTGGGCTATGCAGCTTTCAGGTTTCTGACACCAGAACTGTAAAAAGAAACTGAAGCACAATAATTTCAAAGAATTTATTTGAGCAAACAACAATTTGGATCAGGTAGCATCAAAAACAAAATGCTTAGGGGCACTCTGTGGGTGGGGGTTAGGGCAGAACTTTTTATAGGAAAGACATAGAAGCATAGCAACTTTTAAAATTGCCTGTGCTTTCACTAGCTGTTTTATTTGGGAAAATCTAGGTTTTTTTGGCTCTTTATGATTAGGTGTTCTTGAGTTTCATTTTTCTGAGATTTGAGAAAATCTAGTTGGCTATTTATGAATTGTTCTTGAGTGTTTTCTCAGATTCTAGTGCACTGATTCTGCCTTAGGTTTTGCTTATGCAGGGGCCTAAAGACACTAGAGCCACCCCAGACTAATGGCCTCCTTGTTTCACTACTCTAAATGTATACAGATATAAAATGTATACATAAAGTCAATAATCAGCTGAAATAGTTATTTTGTTTAGATGGTTCTCCCTAAACCTTTCCACAACTTAACCTTAATATATACATATATATCGCTCTTGTCTTCTGCTGTCATCTATAATTTCAATACTTGCTTCAGAATGCAGCTTTGATTAATGCCTATTATGACCTAACATAAATTGACTTATATAAAGGTTGAGAAATATATATGTATAATTATTATAATATATTAAATATTATCATATTATATATACATATATATATACATATATATATATACATATATATGAAATGTACAAAGACTGAGAAGTAAAAAAGCAGCCCTGATATTGGAAGCTGGCTTGATACTACCAGCTAGCCTTGGTGTTCTGCTGTCGGATATAAACATTTTCACAGGACATCATCACACACAGCCACTGTGAGGTAAGTGTGGATCAAGATAAAAACAAAACCACTTTATAGTCATGCCTGACTACAAATAAACTGTAAACATTTTCTATGTAAGAAGAAAAGAGCAAATATGCCCTAATGGACTAACAAGAGTGGCTGTTTCTTCTTAACAATTACAGATGTAGAATTTTTCTAGTCTTCCCTTTTTCTAGATAAGATTTACTAAGACATACAATCATAAAATTAGCCCTACTTCCTGGCTACATCCAAACCAGAGCAAAGGCCTGCTTCATCAAACCTCTCCCAAATCCCCTAGCAGAGGCTGAAATCTTTTAAAGCTCTCTAACACACTCTTACTGAGATGCCCCATGGTTTCCCATGGTGTGTGTTGCGCCCCCACTGCAGTGATTAATAAACCTAACTTGTTAAATACAGGTGCATTCCCCCATGGCCTTTGGTAGGAAGGTGTTGAAAGGAGGTCAGCTCTCCTCAACTCCTGGGGAGTTTTTCCCCAGCACCTATAGCTTCCACAAATATGTTTAGATAAACCTTAGAAGGTTGGACACCTGCATAAGTGCTGCAATACCTCCAAATCAAAGCCATTGCTTTAGTAGAATATGTGGTTATCATAACAAACTGGGAGTCCATGGAAAAAGAATCCTTTGTATGTTTAATAATAAAAATAGACACAAGGAAACCAGGAATTAAAGGAAGAGAACAAGACAGATAAAAGGAGACCTACTGTAAGAAATTAAAGAACATTCATCATATTCTATCACAGGAAAAATGGCTTCTGGAATTGCATAAAGGCAATTAAAAAAACATAAATAGGTATTAAATACTTCATAGTGAAAGCATCTCATGTCCTGCATAGTTGCTGTAGGCTTTGGGATAGGAAATTTGAATTAAACAATTTAACATTGAAAGTGATCATGCAATGGCAGTATAAAAATTCTTATAAATCAGAAAAAAACCCTTTTCTATAAACAAATTTTCAACTGAAAGTAGTACTTGTAATGGAATTGGAATCATAAATTAAAAATTAGGTTCCATGTCCTGAATGTTGTAGCTTTGATGCCCTTAATATTTTTAATCCTCTTTATTAAATACATGTATATGATATATATTTATCATTTATATCACATGTATATCCATATTTTCCTTTAGAAGGTTAATCTGAGAATTAAATGAGATTAGTGTATGAAAATACAGCTCTCTGAAGAAAAGCAAGTTTATTGTTTTCAATTATAATTTTATATACACTTTATTTTTATTATTATTCAGTAATAGAAAATCATGGTAGGTTCCATTACAGTGTGACAAAAATAGAGGTAATAAATTCTTAATTTTTTACTTACTCTTATCTCAGAAATTGTTCCTTTAACATGATTTTTTTTTTTTTTTCCCCAGAGTTACCATGTATTGACCACACCGATTTAAGTACATGGGAATCTAAACCCCTGCAGTATTACTTCTGGTTTGCAACATAAAACATAACTGTGCCAACTTGAAATATTCAGAACTAAATGCCTTCAACTTAATTCCTTTTTTATATGGCAGCTAAGCATTTTTTAACTTTGTTTTCCAATTAATTTATTTCATTGTAATTTAAAAATATATATATATCTATTGATTTCAGAGAGAGGAAGAGAAAGGGAGAGAGAAAGATAGAAACATCAATGAGAGTCACTGATCGGATGCCTCCTGCTTGCCCCTGGCTGCGGATGGAGCCTGAAACCCGGACATGCGCCCCGACTCAGAATCGAACCTCTATCTCCTGGATCATAAGTCGATGCTCAACCGCTGAACCATGCCAGCCGGGCTATTGTAATCTTTTTTGTCATAATAGGGAAAATGTGACATTTTTCTTTTTCTTTTCTTTTTTTCCTCCTTTGACCATACTTCTAAGTCTGATGCTTCTGGTTCAAAATTTTGTAGGTCTAAAGTTTGCTCAAGACCAATTTCTCTGTTGCTGGACCACTGTTATACTTATTTCATACTGATTTTTTTTTTTTTCTACCAGTATTTTTTTTAAAATTATGAACAAGTATGTCAGAGAGATGAGGAGATGAAGGGAAGGGCACAGGAGTTAGCAATGGAGGTGTAATAAAGGGAGGGTCAAAATATACTAAAATAAAACAAAACAGTGAAAACATTTTGCTTTGCAAATTAATAGAAATCAGTATAATCTGACTTTGTATTCAGAGGTAAATTAAAAGTCTTAAAATTCTAAATTGTAAAACAAATATTTCCAATAATTTACCTGCTTCTCTGTACTTTCACTCTCATTTGACCTTATTTTCCGTGGAACTGTGACATGCAGAAATATTCCTTCAGAATCTGCAGTAAGAAAACGAGTCTTTTGTTGTTTTGCGACAACAATCATCTCAGGGAAGCATGGGTTCTTACCTGAGTCCACGGTGGGTCTAAAATTGTCAACACATTTATTAATATTTGCCCTAGCTCCTTCTTGGTCCAAAGCTTTCACTACCATGACATTGAAAACGGCTAAGATACAAACAAACAGAAATGAGACACAGCAGTTCCACAGGCCCGTCTTGTTCCTCAGGACCCTTTGGGGCTGTTTCCCTCCGGACTCGGAGGAGTAAATTGAGAGCAGTGCGCACACCCCTAAAGCCCGCGGCTACAGGGTGCGTGAGCCAAGAGGACAAGCTGAGTCTCAGCTCCCGAGCCCCTGGACCCCTGATGCAGCGCCCACTCCCTGGCTAACATCATCAGTCACCTCCGCCGGCCCGGGGTGGGCGGCGGGCAGCCAAGGCACAGCAGGGCACCCAGGCAGGGCGCAGCGGGGGACCCCAGAGCTACAGGAACTTTGTCTCCAGAAAAAGCCCAGCCCTGCTCAGAGGCGAAAGAGAAGGCAGTCCAGGCTCCCGTGGTCTCACCCATGTGGGCATGCAGCCTTCCAAGCTCAGCGAGCAGCGCAAGAAGGAGGAGCATGGCCCGGCCGGAGCGCAGGGCACAGCCAGGGCCAGCAGCCGTTGGGCAGCTCTGAGGCTCGCGGGCGGGAACGCGCGGTGGGCGCCCGCGGCTCCTCTCTGCCTTAGCTGGCTCACCCCCGGGACCCTGACTGGCTGGGGAGCTGCCACAGGTCTGGGGAGCCAGGGGCCTCAGCGTTTTGGCACAACTGGTTTGTTGTGGGTGAACTTACATTGTTTAAACCCTTCAGTAGTGACCTAGGGGCAGATAAACATGATTGGCTTTCCTGGTCAAGTTCTTGGTAATTTCTTTTATTCATGTCACAGTTTTCTGGCATGTTTTACTTACTGTGGTGGGGGAGAAAGGAAAGTAGCAATCTTCACTATGTGCAGGAGACATTTTCTACTTCGTGGTCCTGCTGAATTTCATTTATCATCTTCGCAAAGAAAGAAAAATCAAGATTGTTAAACTTGATCTTGGATAATGCAATTAAAAAGCCCCCCCCCCCTTTTTTCCCCAATTGTGTGCCTATTCTTACAGTATTAGATTATAATTGATTGAAGAAAGGAAAGAAACTTTAAAGTGCAGCCTAAGTGTGTTTTGTTCACAGTTGCTCTGAGCACTAGCAAGGAACTTATAGAGATGGGAAGGGCAGAAAGTCAAACTGAGAAAGGAAACGTGACCCCACAGTATTAGAAAGAACCTGCAATGTCTTTGAATTTTCTGACCAATATCTTACACTGCACATGTCCGAAACCTAACTCAACTTCTATCCTGCCTTTCACCCAAGCCTACTTTTATCCCAGTACACTCCACTGAAAAAATTGTGTCAACAGAGGCAAAAACAAACTCTGGTAGGCCTAAAACTTGAACCTGGCAGATAGTAGTACATCTGGGAAACTGATCCTCACAAGTTATTATTAAAATAAGACAGGCCAGTGATCATAATGACTTAAAATAAGGAAGTGGCAGTGAGGATGAAGGAAAGTTACGATAGGCCATCCTGTTGTATATATAGGGTGTCCCCCCAAAAATGTATACACACATTTTGAATATTATAAAGGCAGTGTTTATTAAAATATATTTCATCTTCAAAATTGAGCTATTAGTTATTAAAGTGTGTATAAATTTTTGGGGGGACACCCCATATAAATATATTTTTACCACACAATTCACTCATTAAACTGTTTCAATGCATGGAAAAGTGTACCTATCTCAGTAAGAGCAAGATGGGGAGAGGGGACACTAAAGCAAGACAATCTTACCCAGAAAAGCTCAGCTTCAAGTAAAGAAAGAGCAGCAAAACCGGGTGCAGCAAAGGAAAAAATACAGCCTAGACTGCAAGTTACATGAGGTCAAGAAAGTATCACCTGGAGACAGAACATTTATGTTTGACCAGAAACTCAATTAGAGCAATTCCTTGAAGATAGAAGGGATGCTAGTGAGTCTCTGGGGGCTTGGGGCTGGCCTTACCCAGCAACACTTCAAATCCAAAGCTTGCAATGGATAGGGAGGGGAATCACAAGCTGCTGGGGAGGTAAGGGCTGTCGGTGTCCTCTTTGGAGATGGGAGCAGTTAGCACAGCCATAGGCACTGAGGGCGGCAGCACAGGGGACAATGGAATGTTCTCACCTCGGGATGCAACAGCCTCCCATGTTCAAAAGAGGCTAAACTGCCTATTTCCTACTAAAGGGTCACAGCCTGTAGAAGAATCAGCAGACACAGGCCTACATACTTTCGCTCACAGGATTTATTTTGGTTTGTGAAAGTGAAAGCCATAAGCCATAACAAAAGGAGAGAAAAGCAGATTCTTTTCATTCTTGGATCAGACCAGCTAATGGTGAGTTTCTTGGTAATATCCTTTCTCCAACCTAAGGCTTTTTGACTTATTGCTTAGTCACTGATCTAAAGAAATACAGAAAACAGAAATGTTAAGTTGTAACTTAATAAAGCTGCCTAATTTTACTATGCACCTACAACGGTAGCATTTAATTAGTGTAATAAGACACTGGTTATACCACCAAAACCTATGTCTGTGCTCTGTGAAATTTGTAAACCCATTTCTTTTTCCTGAATCCTTTGTGATAGACACATTAAAAATATATTATGCATTGGCATTTATAAGTGTCTCATTTACATAGTCTCTATGCTTCACATGGTAAAAAGAAAATCACCAGCAAGGAAACAGAGAGGAAAAGAACAATAAAAACCTGTGAGAAATAAATTGTGAGTAATTGGTCCATTTTTATCTACAGAGGAGGAGTACTCCCAGAGTTCTCCAGCAGGTGACCCACATACACATGATCAAAAGCAAGCTCATCCTTCACTCCCCTCCACAGCGTCCTTCCAGCACCAAACTGGCTCTTTCCTGCTATACAGTCATAAGTAAAAGCTATGCTAATGCACTGTATCAGAAATGGCTAAGTCTTTGTAGTCCTTTGTTATTCTACCCCAAATATATCCATCACTCACCACTTAATTGACTCTACCTCTGTTACATCTCACGAAACTTTTTCATCTTCTCTTCCAAACCTGCCCTCATCACATCTTTCCTGTGTATTCCTTACTCCCGTAGCTGCTGTGCTCATCTCCGGTGCTGGCTGAATCTGACTGAACTTTCCCCTACTTCATTCCAGCACCATGCCACGCTAAATCCCTCCCCTACCACTTGGGAAATACTTTGACGTGTTCCCATTCATATATGAGGAAATGTAAACTCCTTATCAGGGCACCCCAGACACTTGCCTTGGCTCACGGTTACCTATGTACATTTTATCTCTCGATGTTCATGAATTTTAAAATAAATTTTAAAATGTATTAAGAGTAAAATTTGGAAACACATCTGGGGTTACATTTTAGCATTCCTATCTTCCTGCTATATCCATAAACATAATGTAAGTACTTGTTCTTATACTCTACATCCAAACTGTCAATGCCTTCTGTTGGTTCCCCTTACGAATTTATTTCTAAAGCCATGTTCACTATTGCTGGTCTGAGGTATTTTCTGTTCTCTCCTGGATTATTGCAGTAGCACTCCACTAACTGTCTTCTCCACTTTTACTCTGTCCTTGTTACAGACTACTTTCAACAAAACACCCTTTGAAAGTATAAGTCATGGCTTCTGATCAAGATGGTGGAATAGGTAAACAGTGTACTCACCTCCTACCTTGGCCACTGATGATACATGTAGTGATGATACAGTTCTGCATCTTGACTGTGGTGGTGACTGTTCCAATTTGAATATCTGTATTTTGCATGAAAAATTGCACCTAACTAAATACATACACACACTTGCACTCACAAAAACACACACAATATACACAAATGAGTGCATGTATACTGGTGAAGTTTGAAAAAGGTTTGTATTTTATCAATGTCCATTTCCAGGTTTTGATATTGTACTATAGTACTGAGATGTGTTTTCACTGATAAAAGCTGAGTAAAGGGTACACAGAATTTCCCTCTACATTTCTTTGCAACTCTTTGTGAATCTATAGTTATTTCAACATTAAAACTTAAATAGCCCGGCTGGCATGGCTCAGCAGTTGAGCACTGACCTATGATCCTGGAGATCAAGGTTTGATTCCCGGTGGGCACATGCCTGGGTTTCGGCCCGATCCCCAGTAGGGGGCGTGCAGGAGGCAGCCAATCAATGATTCTCTCATCATTGATGTTTCTCTCTCTCTCCCTCTCCCTTCCTCTCTCTGAAATCAATAAAGACATATTAAAAAAATTTAAATAAAAACCCAAGAGGATATCATTACACAACTGGCAAAACCAAATCAAGCTAAAACAAAAATGTCAATATCAAGTGTTCGTGAAGTATGGGCTATCTGTGCAGAAGAACTGGATCTCTCATTGATGAATGGAGGGAAGGTAAAAGAGGACAGCCACTTTGGCAAAGTGTCACTGGTACTTATAAAATTAAAAGTATACTCACTGAAAACAAACAAGCAAAACCTTAGTAAATGACTCAGTAATCTCACTTCTAGGTATTTACCCACTGGATTGCATTTTTGACACTTGTTAAGAAAAGAAATCTTTAAAGTTCTCATCACAAGAAAAAGGAATTTTGTAAATATATATGGTCAGGTGTTAACTACATTTATTGTGGTGATCATTTCACAGTATATACTTATATTGAAACATTAGGTTGTATACCCAAAACAAATATGTTATGTTTCAATTATATCTCAACAAAGGAGTAACAAATTATAATAATTCAAAATAGATTAGAAGGAATGATAAAATATTTGATTCTTTACATATTTCTAAATAACTGTCCAAAAGTGTGTGCTAATTTATACTTGTTTTAGGATGATAATAAATTATGCTTTTCACTATCAATTATTATTTTCAGTTCCCAACTGTTTATGATAGTAGGGAAGGGCACATAATAAGAATAGAGCCACAGTTGTTTAATAATCATTCACCTTACTAACTATAGATAAGACATTTTCTTACATACCCTGGGGAACTGGAGGGTAAAACAAGGCTTTAAAAAGATAAGATGCCTCGGTGGGTCCAGTACTCAGAAAATAAATACATTTTGCGAACAGACCAAGGACAGGGCATGCTTTTATTTGGTTGCTCTGCCCAGACCCTGACCTCCTCTGGGAGTTTGCCTCAGGAAAGCTGAGCACTCTTTGGTCCCAGGAACAGGCGGAGCTGTTTGTAACATCATACAAGATTAGTCACCTGGTTATCAGACTTTGAGCTCCTGAAGGCCAGACTGCAGACCCTAAGCTCCCCTTTCTGTTACACTTGTAGCTCACAGCTGCATGTAGTTATCATCTGCCTCATTGGTATATAATAAGCCAACTGGCAGTGGGGGAGCCAGAGCAGAATTCCCAGGGTGACTGACTGTCCTCCCATTTTGCTGGCAATAATGGAATAAATGCTCAAATATGATTCAACTCTGTCTTTGCTTAATTTGGCTTAAGTAGTGACAGGTGGCCACAGACCCCTTGTGTACAGTTTCAGAAACAACTGGATATCCATTTACATTATATTTATTTCAG